GTACAACATCAACGTCCTCGGAGCCGCCTGGAAAAGCACATTGATTCTGTCGAAGGCCCCTCCCAAGCGTATGGCGAATTCATGTGTCCTTGTCCCGAATGGTGTCGGGCGTCGGGTCTCTTTCGATGTTGGAGGACATGTCTGCCTGCAGGATTGGAGAAGGCATTTTCGAGTTTCTACTTCACATGATTGAGGCTGTTCGGAGGGATGTGTATGATCTGTCCCCGTCGTCCTGTTCCCGTTCCTCAGCTGCTGTGCGCTGGTTTGTGCTGTGAGTACAGTACATCAACCACACACTCCGATCACGGTGCTCGTGTTGCAATTCGATTCTTGAGTTGGCTGAGATCCCAGGTGACGTGGTAGGCTTTTTACCCCACCGCTGGGATGACAAAGTCATCGGTGGGTCATTTGGACATGACCGTATTTATTGAAACCCAAACAAAGTGTTGTCCCCGGTGGCATGCTTTCTTGTGTTGTCTACGGTTTGTTGGCTCGCTACCTCAGCTTCAGTGGGTCCTATGGCCCCGTGGTCTCTGCCAGCCGGTACACAAGACGCTGCATACACGCAGCTTGCGGGGAAAGCATAGCTTTACTCATACAGTACACTCTTTTCAGAGAAACTAGACTACAGCAGTACCGCCGACAAAAATCGGTGGGGGAACGTACGGTCCGTGCACAACAATTTGTCCAATAATTTCCCATGCACGAAGTGCAACATTTCTCTGCACACTGGTGGTTGTTCAAAAATCTGAAAATACCGGCAAACGCCCTGTTTACAGGCGCAGGGCGTGACGGAGAGTTTTCTTTTTTTCCTTTACTTTTTACTTCCGAAAAACCGGAAAACTTGTTTCGTTTACAGGGGGTGGGGTTTTTTGCCGATTCACATAAACCCAACGGATTGCAGGTGTGTACCTCCTCGGGCTTGCGTACCCTTTCGTTGCTAATAGTGTGTGTGTTCTTTAGATCTTCTGATGGCTCTAGCATTTTTGTGACCACGGACCGAGTCTTCGCTAGATTTTGGGATTAGCAACTGACACGAGTTAAATGTGAAGGAAAACAACAAAACAACAACGGATTTGGACAAATCTCGGAATTCCGCAGATGAGCATTTTTTAATTTTTTCAACTTTTGAAATTGAAGGAGATATCCAGGAAAAACTGGATCTAGGGGGTCAAGTTGTTTCGTCACAGCACAATAACTTAACCAACCGATTCTAAAATATACAGCGGCAAACGATTCCTCTCATCAGTCTCTAGATGGGTATTTTTGTTGTTCTTGGGAAAACTCTGGTTCTCGAGATATCCCACATTTTGTCGTGCCGTGCTATCGGAGATTTTTTTGCTTTTGGGCAAGAGGCTCCCACAACAAACTGGCGCACGTGGCGGCCCGAACAACACGAGACACGCACGCAAGCAAGCAAGCACCATGGCACGGCCTAACAAGAAGAAAATCGGCAAGCGCGGAGCCGATGGCCGGGCGGTTCCAAAGAAACCGAAGCCGGCGCAGCAACATGATCTTCCGTCACGCGGCGCTGGTGATGCGCTCTCCGACGGCCACGACAGCGCCGATTCGATGGACGTGGATCAGGAAGAAGGCAAGGCGGCGGCAGACGAGCATGGTAACGACGAGGACTGGTGCGATGAGGATACCAGCGGCGCACACAGCTATGGTAGAGGTCAGTCGATCCTGAGTTTTGCGAAGTGGTCGGTGGCGTCCGCAGGTCGCGATGCAGGAAGTGCGGCGCAAAAAAATCCGCCGCGTGTGCTGTCGAGAAGTCAGCAATTTCGCAACAGAAAAAAACTTCTCCAGCAACAAGCAGTAGGCTTGGCACGAGCTATGGGAGCGTTCATCCCGAAGTCGCAGCAGGAGCAGCAGGAGCAGGAAGAGGAGAGCTCGTGTGCCAGTGGTGAGGTTGGCCCAGCAGAGAAGTCAGCGGCGGTTTTAGAGGTTGAGTCGCACACAAGCTCTCCCGGCGGCGGCGGCGTTTTGGAGTTGCGCCGCAGCAGCAACGGCAGCATCGGCAACATGTCGATAGCTTCGGGTCATGGGCTCAGCATAGATGAGTGGTGTAGTCGTGGAGGCCACGGGGGGGGGAGGGACACAAGCGGAAAAGGACGCCGCGGCGGCGAAACCGTTGGCGGCTTCACAGGAATGCCGAACCTTCTCCACGAGGAGGGCGAAAAGGGTATTCGAGAAGTGGAAAAGGAAGTTCGCCATGGCGCAGGGAGGAGAGGAGGCCGACAACACTGCGTTGTGATGTGTGTATCTTTACGTGCGTAAACCAAATCTATATATTTTTTTAGCAACTACAAAGGGTTGACCGCTCCCCAGGTATTGTTTAGTTTAGTGCATGCTCGTATAGTGTAGTGATGTCTATTTTTTTTTTACGTGCATAGGATACTGTGCGGAGTGTGGAGATTCGTTCACGTGTGTGTATACGTTGGCGTGCTTGACCTTCGAGGGTGTTGTCGAGCAAGCAGAAGATTGCAGAGACAGAGGCGTTGAAATCTGAGTTTTGTGAGGAGCGGAAGATGAAATATCTGTTGGCCAATCAGAGTGCAGCAGCATGGAGTCAGCGTGAAGTGTCTGAAACCTGACCAGAAGAGTAGACTTGGGAGCACTTGTTGGTCTGCCCCAAGGAAGCACGAGGGAGGCTGCTGCAGCCAAGAGGTATTTCGGAGGAGATCTATTTCTTTGGAGGAGATCTACTTGGCACGGGCTGCTGGGGGCATTCACATATCGAATGGAANTTGCATCAAACTTGGGCCATGTCATCCGAGCACAAGTCGCCGGAGACGGAAGAGCGCCCNTACATGCTTAGTGCTTGAAAACCCACCGTACAAGCTACAAAGAGGGATTACTTCAGAACATTCGGTGGTGGAAGGACGCCATGATTGTGTGCGAACGTACGTAGCACATGGCATTGAGTTTTGCGAAGTGGTCGGTGGCGTCCGCAGGTCGCGATGCAGGAAGTGCGGCGCAAAAAAATCCGCCGCGTGTGCTGTCGAGAAGTCAGCAACTTCGCAACAGAAGTGTGCCAGTGGTGAGGTTGGCCCAGCAGAGAAGTCAGCGGCGGTTTTAGAGGTTGAGTCGCACACAAGCTCTTCCGGCGGCGGCGGCGTTTTGGAGTTGCGCCGCAGCGGCAACGGCAGCATCAGCAACATGTCGATAGCTTCGGGTCATGGGCTTAGCATAGATGAGTGGTGTAGTCGTGGAAGCCACGGGGGGGGGAGGGACACAAGCGGAAAAGGACGCCGCGGCGGCGAAACCGTTGGCGGATTCACAGGAATGCCGAACCTTCTGCACGAGGAGGGCGAAAAGGGTATTCGAGAAGTGGAAGAGGAAGCGCGCCATGGCGCAGGGAGGAGAGGAGGCCGACAACACTGCGTCGTGATGTGTGTGTCTTTACGTGCGTACACCAAATCTATATTTTTTTTTAGCACCTACAAAGGGTTGACCGCTCCCCAGGTATTGTTTAGTTCAGTGCATGCTGTATCGTACAGTAGTGTAGTGATGTCTATTGTTTTTTTACGTGTATAGACTACTGTGCGGAGTGTGGAGATTCGTTCACGTGTATACATTGGCGTGCTTGACCTTCGAGGGTGTTGTCGAGCAAGCGTGGTATAGTATCTGTACAAATGCAATCAGGGGGTTTCGTGGTGTATTTAGAGCAGGTGGTAGAGGGGCAAGAGGGCTCTTCTTGGGCACGGTTAGGGGGTTCTGTGAATGCGTAGGGGGTAAGACTTTTTCGGGGAGGCTCCGTGTATGATTCTTGCCAAAAATGTTGAATATCGCTAAAAACTCCGCAGCTATCGACCCGACGTATCTCGACGAGGCGGTCACGACTATCGTCGTTTCACGTTCCAATTCTTTTTCCAAACGACGTTATCGCACAAAACGTAATTGGACAAATTATTGTGCACGGTGCACGCCCTATACAACGTACAACGTGCGGTCTATGCACACGAATCCCAACAGCAACCGCCGTCCATCTGTCGCAGGAGCCTTCTATTTTGTCAATTATTACTCGATTTCAAAATAATCGACTGCACGCATGCCACCCCCGCAAAAGCACCGCAGGTAGACCTTGTACTCCCCTCCGTATCTAGACGAGGCTACAGCCGAAATACATGTCATGTGCTGTGCTGCTGTAGAATTTTGTCACTTGTGCGCCCGCTAAACATACGTACGCATGTATGAACGGGCGGCCGCCAGGTCCCGTCTTTCTCTACAGCAGGAAACGAGAAGCACGTGTTCCTGAGCATACATGCTTAGTGCTTGAAAACCCACCGTACAAGCTACAACGATGGACTACTTCAGCAGAACATTCGGTGGTGGAAGGACGCCATGATTGTGTGCGAACGTACGTAGCACATGGCAGATGGATATGCATATGCATCAGGATGCATAAATCACTGCTGTATCAGCATGGAACAAAACCACGTGATTCTTTTCTCCGGCAGACAACAGGGGTCTCAGAATTCCGACATGCACACCGCCAGCCGAATGAGGAATAGTATCGTGCCCGGGTACCGTTGAGCATCACTTCCGCGCCTTCGAGTCACGATGTGTGGAGGCATCATAAGGACACAGCGGCTTGCGCCCTCCATGGCTCTTGCTCGCCCCTCCACAGACAACTTGGAAATTCCGCACCATGGCAGCAACAATCGATTTACTGGTGCCCAGTTTCGTGTGGTGTCGCGGAGATCGCGGAGATCGCGGCGTTTGGACAGCCTCTTCATCTGTCCACGCGAATTTCAGCTCTCAACTCAGAGCCGCAACAAGCCTTCATGACGCTCAACAAGGGGGGCATTCTCCAGAGTTCTCCCTGGATGACAAATTTATCGCATATCGCACAACTTCGCAAGTGCTCACGCATGCCGCCCACACAAGCTTCAGTCTGCGGCGTAATCGTCCGACCATCGCACAACCCCGCAATCCTGTAATTCGTCCGACAATTGCTGTCTACACAACCCAGCCGTCACACCAGGAACGCGCACCTCATGGCCATGCTGTTCACTAGCTCTCATCGCGGCGGATCCGTCTCCCCTTCCCTGTTGTTTCGTCAGGAGCGATTTGTCCCGAGCCTTCAGGACGACATCCCCCGACCACTCTATGAGCCCATTGCTCTCGTCCTCAACGCCTACAAGCTTCTTGAAGCCTGCCGTGAGAAGGCTCGAGGTCAACCTCAGAGCGCCCCAAGCGAACGGAATAAGAGGCTCCAGACCGGACATGATTGTGAGAAGGATATAGCTGGTGCAGTAGCGCACGGTAATCAGGAGGGAGCAATAGCCGGGGCGGCGAGAACAGCGTTGCAGCAAACACGCAGGACGATGAACCGTGGGAGGTAAACGTTTGTGTGTCCACATTTCCCCCATTTTTTTCTGATCTGCAATGGTTGAATGCATAATCACGTGTTACTTGAGCTTCCGCAAATGGTGGTCGCCAACGCAAGCCTGTAGATCTTGGTATGCATAGATCCAACGATTCAACGATCCAATTGTTGTTGTTGTTTTCTTCACATCAAAATCCGTTCCGATCTCTCTCTGCCCAGTACCTTCGTCCAACAGTCGACGCGGTCGATTCCCGTGGTGGCGGGCTAACTTTAGACAAAAAGGTACAATGCACCGACGTATTCAGCACCGTACACAGGCGTCCGAGGGCTCTTTTCTCGAACGGTAGGTGCGATACCTGTTCTTTTCTTTCGGTCATTTTGTTTTCTTTTTCCGAGTGGTTTGTATCCTATTTTTGTTTTTTAGTTTTCTCGCGGCGTCGTATGTGCCGGGTTTTGAGACCACGGGCTCCCCATTTTTTGTGGACTATAGAGCTAATGTGAGAAACAACAACAACAACAACAGGCAACCCCCCCCTCCTATGTGACCCCGGTTGGGTCGTCTAGCTGGTAGTAGTGGAGGATAGGGGCCAGAGGGGCAGACGACAGAGTCCAATGATGGGAGAAAATAATCATGATGTATGCTTACGTGGCGTTTCATGGGCAGGCTGTGTGCACAGCAGTAGTCGGGGAAGGATTTTGTAGGGTGCCTGCAGATGTCAATGATAAACAATATTGATATTTGACATTCCATGGACGTCCATGGACACCGGAAAAACGCTGGTTGACACTGCCTGGTTGGGTCGTCTACCTAGTAGAAGTGGAGGGTAGGGGCCATAGGGGGCTCGTCTGAACCGTCTGCTCAATGCAGATTTGGAGATCATCGACGTGTTGTATTTTCATCTGGTCAAATGACGTCATTTGATGTGAGATTTAGAAATATATTTTGAAGAAGTTTTCGCTTGGTCAGGTGACGTCATTTGATCTGAGATTCGAAGATTTGTTTCATCAGATATTTTTTTTTGGTCCGTGGACGTCCATGGACTTGTCCACGGACATGTCCGTGGACATTGACTGGACGTGTCCACGGGCGTCCACGGACAATTTGTTTTTTGTTTTTAACTTTCTCCCATCATTGGATTCTGTTCCTTTGCACACGCGCTTTTGTTTTCGTACATTTTGCTGTCTGCCGATCTGCCGCCTCTTTGTCCTGTTTGCTCCGTTGCTCCCATGCCCTGGTGCGTAGTGCCTGGTGCTGGTACGTTCCCCCTTGGTTTTTTCTTCGGGCGGGTGTGGGAAGCGTCCTCCTGTATTTATTTTTTTGTTTTAAGGTTGATCGGGCTCTTTCCTCGAACGGTTGGTGCGGTGGCGGCCGATGTTAGCAACCACCCGGGTATAAATAATCACATTTTTTCAAATGGGGATATCTCCTAGATACAGTCACGGAGCCCCTAGAACTCTTTTTTGAAATTCGCGGAGAAACTATGAGAGAGCTTTCGTTTGAGCACTTCAGCGTCGCAATCAGAGCATCCAGCGATGAGATACAGCAGCAGCACCACCACCCACCGCCGACGCGGGCCATCTTCGGTCTTTTGGCCGAAGAGAGATGACGAGCCCGCGGTGGATAAGCCTGTGAGGGAGGCGATCGGATGCCTGATGTGGACGAAGCTGACGAGGCCAGACATCGCCCTGCCTCTGAACAAGCTCCAGAAGATCGCCCACTCACCCACCGGGAGGATATGGAACGCCCTTGTGCGGATCATCTCCTACCGGAACTTCACGAAGGACTTCGGCATAACCTACGTACGGGAGTGAGGACTAGACCTACGCGCGTTTGTCGATGCCAGCTACGCTGACAACGAAGTGGACAGGTGTTCTACGACCGGGCTAGCTGTGACCGTAGGTGGTACCGTAG